TTCTTGATTGATTGTCACTGTCACCTAGTAATAATATCTCAGCAAGGGAAGGGTAAGACTTTGCTGACAACTGAGCTGGTTTCAGCAACAGGTCTGGAGGAGACACCTAGAAATATCCAATGATTTCTCTGTCCTCACTGGAAAATAATCCCTTGGATACTGATGAGTCACAGGTCACAAATACGCTGATAGGGGTGCAGGGGAAGCTTTACTAACAAAATGTAACAAATAGCACACGTTCCCTAAACACTTTCAAGTGAATTCACACCTCAACCTCTTCAAAAATTAAGCAAAAAGCTGTGTCACGCCTGCCCTGCCCTTTTGGTTTGTTTAAAGTCAGTATTTTCTGTTAGAATTTCCAGGAGGTAATTCAGATCTGATGCAGAAACAGAGGACACCTGGTGGTGTTTAGTTGTTAGTGTATACAAACAGCAAGCCAGCTCTGTGTGTGCAGCTGCACCAGCAATAATTAACATAATCCATGCTTTAAATAAATTTTTTTAAAAATGGAGAATTTAAAATAATGCAACTGCCAAAACACACAAAAATTTAAAACAGACAATATGATAATAGTTTCTGATTCCAGATGCTGTCCCTACTTTATGAAAATTACTCTTTATAGAGTTATAATGGTTAAACACAAGAAGTAGCAACTCTATGATCATAGGAGGCTGCCACCTCCCATAAACACATGCTATGGAAAAGTAGGACAGATTCCCTACTACTGAAAAACTAAAGGACACAAAGTTGTCAGTTTTGTTGGAGGAATATCCCCAGAGGCAAGAGCAGAGGAAGAACCAAATGAGCTTATCTTGGGAAGCAGTATCACAAGGAAGGTACTTGCCACCACCTAAACCACAGCATTTCTGACACTGTGGAGGAGAACCACAGATCTGTACAGGAGTGCACAGGGGAGCCAAGCCAGTTCTGAACTGCCAGACTGTAATGACAAACCGTAAGTATTCAGATTTCCATATTAAGTTAGTGAAAATCATTATTTTTAACTGAAGATGCTGGTATTAAGTTAACTCTGTGAAGATCTGACACTGAAACTTTCTACAACATGATGATTAGCATATGCTTTGAGCTGCATATACCACCTAGAATCCAGACACTGAACAAAGTCAACATCTGTGAGACTCCTTGACTCTAAGGACCCAGAGAGAACAGTAGCATGGTAGAAACAAAAACTATGCCTGTAGGGAAGCTGTCTAGTTATGTGGGGGCTATTCAAAGGAAGCATTTTATTGCCAGTAGCAATAACTGAAATAAAGGCTCAAGATCAGACTTTTGTCATGCTCTCTCGGGAACAATATATTGCAATATTAGAACTTGCTTGACTTTGAAAGAAGGAATGAAAGCAAAACATGACTGTGCAACATACAGAATATTGTACCCTTCCTTACACAACTTTAATGCATGGAATCAATCACAGCCATGATGCTAAATGAGAAAATTTTATAAAAAACCCAAGTACTTGGATCTTCTGAACCAGCACTGCCAATAAGAGATGAAATCTTATCATGTCTCCTGCTTGACCAGCACAAACATGCATGGTAAAGCACACTGGTGACCTGGTTAAAATTGGACTGGTTTAAAAAAAAAAAAACAAACCAAAAAAAAACCCAAACCAAAATAACAACAAAAAACCCCCTCCAAATCAAAAACCAAAACAACCAAACCACAGTTGGTTTTAACCCACATCAATTCTCCAATCTGTTCTGATATACAGCCACGCAAACACCTACACTGATAGAAGCGGCTAGAAGAAAACTGCTCCCTTCAACAGCAGTGCTGGCTGAAAGTGTAAATGAAACTTAAGACCTTCTGGTGTTTGCAGATTTTCTTACCAAAGTTAGCAAAGCAAAAGCTAGACTGAAAAACAGATTAACAGATTAGAGGCCAAGTTTAAAGCCAGTACGAGACATAAAATAACTTTACATAAACTTCCAGAAAAGCTCTTTAGGGATTCAAAATTTTGTTCCAGATCATAAGCTATTAGTCTCAAAACTAATTGTGCTACTGGGAACAAAACCAATTTAAAAATCAGTAACAGATACAACAAACACGCTTTAGATTTAGCTTAAAATACATAAAAGACAGTTAAGGAAATACAGCAAAGAACACAGTTGCAGAAAGTTGGAAAACAAGGCCTTTAAGTTATATGAACAAAATCCACCTTAGAGGCCTCAAGGAAAGAGGTTTTGAGCTGGTAAAATAAAGATTGAGATAGACAATTCTGCAATACTCTAGAAACCTTGTTCCTTAGGTTTTGTCTAATACACAAACATTCAAGCAAAAGTGCTCCAGAGATTTTATTCTCCCTCATGAGTTTACTTTATTACTTTAATTTTAAATATCAGCTGACAGTATAATAACTGCCTTCTGAAAGGTTACTAGTCTGTTAATTTTCAAAAAAGCCTTCCCCTTTTTCATTTATTTCTTAGAATAATGCATTCTAGATCAATACCATCCATAAAAGTATATTTAATAACCTTCTGCTTTTATTTTGATTTAATGAAATTAGACTTAACCTACAAAAATAGAATAAAAATTACCTATTTTTCAGAGGTACAGATTTAATATTTCCAAGCAAAGAGTCATCATAAATTCAGCACAGCAAATTCATAGATACACCCCATCCTTTCCTTTTACTCCAAGCTATTTCCCATTTAGTTAAGCTCCTGAATGCAAATGAAAGGCAGGCTAGGATATGGGGGGCATGGTGGGGTGTCTTCCTTATTAACTGATCATTTTCATTCATAACACCTTATCTCAACTAAACATTTCTATACCTTCTCCTTATTCATGCTTTCCTCCAGATAATTCTAACGGTGAGCCACTGTTGTCCTACTCTCTTCTGATCGTCTTTTTAATAAGACCGATGATGGACAATTATGGGTCTCTTCTTTTCTTGAGTTTGCATGTAGCTGTTAAGAAGGTGAATAGAGTTTCTAAAATAAACTTGACTAATAAGTCAAGAGTCAAGGGTGTAGATATTTAAAAACTTTCTAATTAAGCTTTCTAAGTAGTGACAAGAAGAACTAGTCAAGCAATAACAGCTACTTATACCACCTTTCTTTGTCAGCTAATTTAAGTTCTTAAGTAATCAAATTAGATTGTTTATTAACCAGACAGGAATTACCATTGATAGCAGCATGCAACAAACACAGCCCCGTGATTTAAAAGTAACTCTTTTAAGTTTCAGCAAATATACTAAAAAATTGTACATTTAGTAAATTTATTCACACTGGTGCTTGAAAGTGGGCCAAATTAATGCAACTAGTTAAAAAAAAATATTTAAAACCAATACTTGAATGGGTGAACTATCATCTAATATAATTTGCACACCAGCATTTTAGTCAGGATGACAAATATCAAATTGTCCCCAAAAATGTTTCTTTGGATACTTACATAAATTGTGCTTTAGAGTTAGATCTTCCTCTCAAAAGTAAGGCAAAAATCTTTTGCTAACCTAAGGAGTAGGAAAGAAGTTTGAATGTGAGCTCAACAAATCTGCTGTTTTTTATAGTGTGCCATGAAGTATTTAAATAATAAATAATAATTATAATTAACATAGGTTAACATAACAATATCTTATTGGTACAATTAATAATTAAAATACTTTTACTAAGGGAAGAATAAGTTCCATGTTCTGACTTATGACTTGTTTAATTGGTGCAAAGACACTACTGTGTACTGAATCACAATCTTAGTGGAAAACAAAAGTCTCCAAACCCCGTCCATAGTTGGACCTCTGGGACCTTGTTATTCAGAATAATAAAAATTCAGTTAGTTACATTCCTTTTACTATACTACAGCTTCTCCTCTGAAAGTGAGTTTTTGGAGTGGAGAGTTCAGAAGGAAGGGTCTGGCTGGGTTATTTGATAGAGGAAAGCTTGAAAGCGTAGAGGTCTGGTGCAGTTTTATGCTGGAACCCACCTCACATAGTTTTATATTATTTGTCAACAGTGACAGGATTGTCCTCTTGCATCAAGTGATCCCTTTTAATATTCCTAATGTCCAGGTTCATCACAAGAAGAATTGTACAGATGGTGACTTAACTGTGTATATAAAACTCTGCTTTCTGTAGTAGAGTTACAGATCCTTTCATATGTTTAAGCAGACGTTATGAGTGATGTCGAATCATATTTGATTAATCATATTTTAAATTTAGTGCAATAATATAGCAACCTAATCATATTTGAATTTTAGCGCAAGTATGAAATTTAGTTTGGCAATGCCTCAGACTGGATGTGCCCTCCCAGTGTTTCCTCAGAACAGCATAAATAGGGTATTCTGAAAGCCATAAAACCAGGGAAGATAAAATGTGATCTTTGGGAAGACAGATGCAGGAAAGCATAATATCGTGAGGAAGCAAGATACACTTCAATCTTGTGAGCCATTTTTATACATTTAGATTCTCATTGAGTTCAGAGAAGTTTATTATGTAGTACTTGAAAACTAAAACCAAGCCAGGCTCAGCACGAGGAGAGTGTGAGACAATCGAGAGCGCAGACCCGATGATTAAACGCTGTGGGCTTTCTGTTTTCGTAGCATGGTGGATGTGTGAAGCAGTATAAAGCCAGTGACAATTCCTAAGGGAAGCCTCCAATCTGTACAAAATACGAAAAAAAAAAAAAAAAAAAAAAAAAAAAAGAGGAAAAATAATCGAAGAAGAGGGGTACAGAACTGAGATGACCTAAAAAAATCAAACTGAAACGGGGACTGGGGTCGAAGACTGGAAAGTTAAACCCACCCGCTGAATATAACCTCGCTGCCCCCGCCGGAGCCGCTCAGCTTCCCGGTCTCTCCGGGCTCGGCGGGACAGACACCCCGGGCCAGGGGGAACCCTCCCCCGCAGCTCCGCCGGCCCCCTCAGCGCCGGGGCTGCCCCGGCCCCCTCAGCACCGCCCCCGGGGCCGCCCGGCCCGCGCCGCAGGGAGCCGCGGCGGGGAAGCACCCGCGCCCCGCCGGCCGGCAGGGGGCGCTCTGCGGCGCCGCCTCCGCGCTTCCCCGCGGCCTCTCCGCGCTTCCCCGCGCCGCCGGGCCGGGCCGGGCCGGGCCGGGCCGGGGTGCGGCGGGGAGCGGGGCCGGTGCGAGCCATGGCGCTGCCGGTGCTGTCGAGCTCGGGGGTGAAGTTCCGCCGGGTTCTGGCGCACTTCCCTCAGGAGCTCAGCCTGGCCTTCGCTTACGGCTCCGGCGTCTTCCGGCAGGCGGGGGCCTCGGCTGAGCACGGCGAGGTGAGCGCGGCGGCCGCGGCCCTTGGGGGTCCCTCCCGCCCCGCGGCGTGTGGCGGGGACGGCCGGGGCCTGGTGTGCCGCGGTTACCGGCGCGGAGGTGGCGGCTTGGGCGCGGAAAGGGGCTGGACACTCCCGGTCAGTCCCTTCCCCTAGGGCGAGCTGGCGGGGCGGGGGTCCCCGCCGTGCCGAGGGGGGATCCCCCCGCCCGCCTCGGGGGTGCCCCTCGGAGCGGGACAGGTGCCCCCTTAGCCCGTGCCTGCGGGCCCTGGATCGGTGCTTCCCTCGCTGGCGGCTTGAAAAAATGAGTTACAGCTTGTCCAAACCGCCTGTTTGTTGTGCAGGGTGTGAGGGTAACCTAAGCAAAATACATTGCCACGCTTCAGTGGCTTTTTTGGCGCTTACTCGTCGTTTGGGGATCAAGCTGCGTGGAAATAGTGATTTTATTTTTTGGGGGTGTATGTGTTCGACCTTTTTAAGATTGTTAACAGTCAGTATTGCTCATTATGGCATGCCTCTTAAACAGTCCCCACAAATGCGACTTTAAATGTGTCTCATTTTCTTTCCTGGAAAGAGAAAACCAGAGGATAATAACAGTTTCACAGCTCTAACAGCATCTCATTCTCACAAAAAGCATGGGGGGAAAAAGGTAGTTAACAGACTATCTTTTTAGTAGTATTAACTGCTAAGCTAGGATGCAGCCCAGAGTTAGCCATAGAGAGGTAGGTCTGATCAATTTGAAGCAGTGTTACTCCAAATATTAGTTTGTTGTAGGTGCGAGTTCTAAACTGTCAACTTGTTTGTGTGCAAAGGGATGTGTGGACTGATTTCTTCCAGAAGAGCAGGGCATGCATTTTATGTTACGCTTTGGAGGTTGGGTTGTTTTCTTGGCAAAAGCAAGTGAATACCCCAGAAGTGCAGTTTGTTGCTGCTAGCTCTAAGCTGACTCTGTTTACCCATATCTCCCAGGTCATGGCCTTGCATCTTTGCAGAAGTCCTGTTCGTTAGCAGTTTAAGCTGTTATCTTGAGCTGTGAACAAGAAAATTTTGGACCATCTCTGCTAGACTGACTAGAAAACATACAACTTCATCAGAACCTTTAAACTGTATATGACATTGATGCTTGCGTTCTGTTTTTTTTTTTTTTTTTTTTTTTAATCATGTGAAAAATGTGAAAGCTGCTGGTTTGCTACTATGTGTATTTTAGATTAATACGATTAACATTTGTTGCTTCCCAACATATAAACCCCAACAGTTTTCTCCTTTATTCACAGGACAATATGCTGGACTTCGTGTTTGCTGTTGATGATTCTGTGACCTGGCATATGATGAACTTGTTAAAGAACAGGAGTCATTATTCTTTCCTAAAAGTTTTTGGGCCAAAACAGATAAGTAGTATGCAGAGCTATGGAGCGGGGGTTTACTACAATACTTTAGTGCCATGTAATGGTAGGGTAAGTACCAGTAGTTTGAGTAAATTAAGTCAAATGTTTGTGTGTGAAGTATTGAAATGATTAGTTTAAAGGAGATTTCTGTGCAGGAAGCAAATCTTGTAGATTGTAACTGATCCTTAACTCAGGGTGTCTTCAATATTTATGTCTCAAAACTGTTTCATAAACAGCATATTAATTAAAAAGGAAACAGCAGCTGTTCTTGCATTTTAAAAGTGTGAGCAGTGTTTGGAATTTACAACTAAAGTACTTCAGAAACTGGATTTATATTCTTTATTACTTGCTGTCTGCCAGTTTTGGTGGTTGTAAAGCATATTGTAGGGAAACAGGGCCTTAATTTCATCAGTTGACCATGTAGTAATAGCAAAGTAGATTCTTACAGTTTAACATAACTTGCTATGTTAAATAATTGCGTTTTTAAACTGGCATCTATGTTGTTTAATTGCTAATGTCCTGACCTGTGAAGCTTGTGTATAATTAATAATTCCAAATAAGTAGTACTTGTCCAGCAAGGCCTGCTGCTGCATCTGTGTGTATACTGTGGTAAGGAGGAGTGCAGATGGGAGTCAGGGGAGGGAAATGCTGTGTCTGTCTGTCTTGGTGTTGATTTTGAGTAGCTTTTGCTGTGTGTTAACAAAGTGAACAGAGAGAAAGCAAGTTCTTTTAAAAAAGATGGGCAATTAAATGAAATGAAATGAAGGACAGTTGTGGGAAAATGCCACCTGAGCAATACCTACCTAACTCAAGTTTCTCAGAGCACACATGGTTGCAGTAATGCTGGGTATGTCTCAGAATTCTTCACAGAAAGTTGGAGAAGTAGATGAAAAATTCTCTTATGTACCTGCTGTTTTGTTTAAAAACATCTGTATGAGTTAAGAATATGTGGTTTAAACCTTGTTCATTTTAAGTAAAAAGGGAATTTGAATTTTATTTTAAGTACAGGTGATCTTTACTATGAAATTCTGTTCTTTCTGGATCTTTATGCCCTTATCTCATGCTGTAATGACTCAGTAATATCATAATCTATGGTCCTTTGTTATCCAGAAATTCTGGACTTGGTTGCTTTACTGTGATGATAATTTTCAGAAACTCAGGAACTGCAAATTGGTAACAAACAGTTGAAAGATCATTTTTTCTCCAGTTACATAAAATGAACTACAACATCACAACATGTTTTCTAACATCAAAGAGCAAAAGAGGCAGCTGCCTGATATACACCTCATCTCCCAATAACAGTACACAGAAATGTCTAGGGTTTTTGTTTATTTTAGATCTCAGACAAACTATTTCTTGAGTGTTTTCAGTATCATCAAGGATACTGTGGATTATTCCAACTGTGGTAACATTTGGCTGATACAAAACTGATTGTAACCTTTCTAAAACCTTTCTATGAACAGTTGTATTTTAAGGTTCAGATCTCTTCAGTATCAGTCTCTTTCTAGACTAGGTTTCTTTGGGATTTGTTTTTTCCTTTAGTGATTAATTCTGAGATGACTTCGATTCTATAAATGATCTTAGAGCTCTGTGTATTTGACTTTTAATTTTTTTTTTCCCCAGGAGTTTGCATGTAAATAGGAATTTATTTACCTTCTGTGTTCATTGAAGTGTTTTAATGCTATGAATCTAGTTATTTGGAGGTGTGCATTCCTTAGAATTAATGACAGTGATAGTAAATAAGTAGTAACTTTTGTGTAGTGAAAATGTTGCAGGTATATGGTTTTTCAAAAGCCTTAATTTTGTTTTTTTTCCAGATGATAAAATATGGTGTGATTAGCACTGATACCCTGATTGATGATTTATTTCACTGGAAAACCCTCTATGTTGCTGGACGCCTACAAAAACCGGTAACTGTTAGTCTGTTCAGTTATCTGTCTTGAAATGCAGGAAATTATGGGGCTGGAAAATGATTAGTTGTAGTTTTAACTTTAACTGTTAAGGACTGTGTGTCAGTACTGAACAGATAATCTGCCCTGATTTAGGGGTCTAGTCCTAGAGTCATAATCTCTCACGAAGGAAGTGAAATGTAGTCCTTAATGATATTCTGTATTATCTGAAAAAATCCTAAAGGTAAGTGTATTAATCACAGTTTTCTACCTGTAGTAAATCTTGAATAACTGGACTATATCAACTCAAGGTCCTTATAATGTTAAATGTAATATTTACCTTTTATAACAAAATATAGGAGTCACTAAAACTTAGCACAGTTAAATAATGAAAATCTTTAAAGGTAAAAGCTGCTTTGCTCTGCAGTTACCGTCAGTTCATTGTATTGTTAAAGTATCTATAATTGACTGAACCATGGGTTAAGCACATTGGGTTTTCTCCTCCATGTTTGTGTCCAAAAAATAGGTCTTTGCTTTCCATGAGTGCCTGACTCAGTGTGCTTTCGGCAGATGGCAGCAGTGCTAAGCTAAAATTTCTTAAGAGGGGAGGAGGGGGAAGGAGACAACATCTTAGAACAAAAGTTAATTATGTTTTTAACTAAAAATTTGGGGTGAAAGCTTGAATAGTTTGTCTCAGCACTACTGTCTTTTCTCTATCTCCAGAGACATATCACAGCGTGATACAGATTAAAACAGCTGTTATGTTTATAAAGAGTGAAGCTTAATACATTGAGAAAAATAACTGAAGGAAGAATTCTGAATTTCACAATAACAATGAATAGTGAATATTCATGTTCACTGTAACTTCATTTGTTGCTGCTTTGATTTATTTTAGGGTTTTTCATCATCTTAGTATATATAAATTGTGCTTATATATATTTTGACTAATTTCAATGGGAGTCTGTACTTGCTCAAGAAAGCAGAATTTGGTATTTTGTTCGGTTGCTAACAAGACAGCATAGATATCTTCACACATATTTGATTAATAGATAAAAGAAGAAATCAGTCCAAATTATTTTCATAAACCTCATGGGAATTTTTATTGAGTAAAGACTGCAGAACTTAAACTGGAATTTGATTGAAAGATAACTTGGTGAATGTTTAAACTGTCTCTTCCTGTAGAATGCATAAAAACACTAACTGGGGTTTTGAATGTTATACCGTGCTGACCAAATAATTTGTTTAGATCTGTTGTATGTGTTTCAAAAGTCTACTGGTTCTGGCTTCGCAACTGATTTGATGTTTTGATACATAAGTTGTAAGTGGTAATGACAGAAAGCTTTTTTTACCTCCTTAATAATGTACAATAAGCCTGTTTTGGAGGGGACACAGGATTAAGTTTGTTTCCTTACGCACTATAATTTCTTACATACCATTTGCCATTTGTGCTAGTTCTGGACACAGTTGACTGAAGCCAGATTAATATTGTTTAACAGTTTGTTTGGGAATTTCCTCCTCACTCTTATATAGAGGAGGAAGAGCTCAGTGCCTTTCTGGTGTTCCATTACAAAGCTGTCACTCTGAGTGAAAGCTATCCAAGCTATTCTAGCACGTGAGCTAAAACATTTGCTCTGGCTTGAAAATCTTGGCTTAATTTTCACTGGAGGTTTTGTTTCTGTTACAAACGGGTTGCCTTAACCAAGTAATCTTTCCAGAATGTTTGGCAGAATAGATGAAGTCTGGAATTGCCACTTAGACATGCTAACTTTTCTTCCCAGGCTTCTTTGTTTGTGTTTAAAAAGGTATTGGCTCTGAATAAACTTAGTTGTAATTTCTCCATAACTGACAGGTTTCCTGAAAAAAAAAAGCTGCTGTACCTGAAAAGTAAACTAAATAAGCACAAGTGACACATAATTGATTGTCAGAGGAAGAAGATTTTAAAAAGCATCTGAAGTGTTACTGAATTTTTGTTAAACATAGAGTGTAAGTAATTGCTTTTGTGTAAGCAGATGTATTTATTGTTGTCCTGGAGAAACTACTAAGAGAAGGAAGTGTTTAATAAATTGAAGTGAGGTGAGAGAGAGAGTAGTATGAATAGTGTATAGAAATGTCTTGTACTTTTTAGAGAGATCTTGCGAGGTTTAGGTTTTTTATATTCTAAGAATTCCCACGAAGGAGTGACAGAACGCATTTTTTTTTCTTTTTTCAGAATTTTGCCATTTTCCAAATTTTTAAAAACTTTTTTTTGAAAGAGAATGAAGAAATTCTCATATCATGATATTTAACAGAGTGTGGATGTGGCTAAATGGCAAACTGGAATAGTGCTTTTGACACCTTTCATTCTATAATGAGGTTTTTGGGTATATTTTGTTTGTCTGTAAGTATCTTTATTTATACATGCCTGGAGTTTATTGTGTATGAATTTCCTAGCAGTGAAAGTTGTACATTTCCTACTTTAAACTGTTGTGATGACTGAGGGTCATGCTTATTTATAAAATTGAATATATCCCTCATTTAAAATATTCAGTAATTTTAAAGTCTCTACTGTTAGTTAACTGAATTCTCTGTATACTGTAAAACCAGAATAAATTGGCTTCTTCTTTCCCCCGTATGTGAATAGTTCTGATCATAAGTTCTCTGTACTGCAAAAAAGCCTTTCTTAACTTGGGTCTTCTGTCAGATTTACCTCAAGAATCAACATTCATCAGTGTCATACCTGGGTGCTAAGTATTGCACTCTGCCTTCCTGGGAGTTTTCTAGCTATCCGAGCTGTTTAAAATTTGTTCATAAATGGTATCACTACTGCAATGTTTTAGGCATTCAAATTTTGAAGCCTAGCATATTATTTTTCTTTGAAAAAATTCTGGTTTGTGCTAGGAACTGCTTTTAGTAGAGAAGGAGATTATTTCTTTGATTTCACTAAAGCGTGTCTGTGGTCCGTGAGGAAGAACAGCATCTGCTAAGTTTCACGTTTTAAAAGGCTGTAACTGTGGTGTTCTTAAAACATGTTCATAACTTGCTGCACTTTCCAGGGGGAGCCTAAAGTATAAGCAGTTTGCGTGACTGCTTGGGGTGCCACAGACTTCTCTCTTCTGTCTTTCCTTAGAGTATCCCCATAGCAGCAAGTTATGAAAGTACATACAAGTGAATTAGTTGATGAGATTTTAAATAATAGTTTCTCCTCATAACCAGCCTGTCTTGTTTATTGGATCTTCTTTGGGCAGGTCTATATGCATTCAGTAAACATCTCCCATGATTTTCAAGGAAATAAAATTTACTCTGGTCAGATGAATCTATTGTATTTTTATGTGTTTTATCATTGCCTTTTATTCTAACGCTAAAAAACAAAAAGTAGCTTGCAGGAGAATTTAGGAGGAATTCTGAAATGTTCACTTGTGCAGTGAACTCTTTATTTTTAAAATGAAAATCAAAGGGAAGACATCCTTTGAAAATCTACCCTGGACCAATTACAGACTATCATATAGATTTGATGTTAGGCAAACCTATGCTTTAATGGAGAATGATTGAAACAAGCAGCCTGTATAGTATTGCATTTGCCATCATACCAAAATGAGATATTGTTCCAGTTTAATCCCTCTTAAAGATTTCACCATTATTAAAAACTATGTTTTAAATATAGTATTGGCCAGCCATGACATTGCTTTGTTAATGTCCTTTCTGTAAGAAAAATTTTGTGTAGCAAATATGTCTGATTCTCATACTTTTACTGAATCTGGGTTAGGTGTGGGTTTTTTGGTTTGTTGTTTTTTTTTTTTTTTTTTTTTTTTTCTTAACAGAGTATTTACGTTCATAAAGGAGAATATTTACTGGAAAGGATACCTTAGCTGCCTCAGGTTTATGTGGGGGCATAATTTCAAGTAATACTCCAACTCATTTGTGTGTGAATGGGCTTTTGGGGAGAAAAGGCAGGTTGGATGCATTTGTTCATAACTGCCAGTGGGTTTGCATTTTAAGGTATTCTAGAGTAAACAAATACCAAGAAGGTGCCCTTTATAAGACAGACAGTATTGCTTAACCAGAACACTTTAAAAAGACACAAACTCATAACAAGCAGGTATTCTTGGTAGAGTTGTTTCTGAAGGAGCATCTTGTAAACCAGGCTGACTTCATCTGTCTGTTCTATAATAATATGTTTCTATATTCAGTTCTTGCTGAAGATCTGCTTTTTATTCCAGTATATTTCCATATCCTAGGTGACTGGATTCTGTAGTTGGTTTTGAACAGTTTGAATGTTTGCTAAAAATAAACTTTTCTTTGTGTCACTCAAATTCACTGATCATTCTGCTCATGAAAAGTGCAAAATAAAGCTCTGCTTCTTCTAGAAGGACAACTAATGTCTAAGAAACTACTTGAAGCATATGATACAGGAGTCCTCTATAAAAAAAAAAATGAAGATAGGAATAGGAAAACTTACCTCTTTTTCTGGTATTCCATTCTCTTTCACTGTGACAGTGGTCTTTTTTTCTTATTTCATAATCACATATGAAGTATTTCTGTTGAGGCATTCATATTTACTGTTTTGATTAACTCTAAATTAATGATTATGAAAAGGTGAATAGCTCTTCAGAGATTAGTTAATGGCTGTTGCTTATAGCAGTTTCAAATGTGTTTGTTAAACCGGCGTTTTGTAGCAGGCTGTTAATTCTTGAGTAGAGGTTCTCTCTCTCACTGTGTAAACAAAGGGGGATACTCTAATCTTTATTGTACCATAATAATAGGGTCTAATCTTAAATAAATTTCTCTTATATATTTTTCATGCTGGATTGAGTAGCATTTCATCTTCAATAGCACTTTTCTGAAGTCTTGCTTCCAACAACTGTTTTTTCAGGTGAAAATACTGACACAGAATGAGAATGGCAAGCTGCAAGCTGCTCTTGTTAGCAATCTGAAGAGTGCAGTCACAGCAGCCTTCCTCATGCTACCAGAAAGTTTCTCTGAAGAAGACCTCTATGTCCAGATTGCAGGACTCTCCTATTCTGGTTAGTATATGGTGTCTAAAATTGCTGAGGAGAAAAGCTGTAGTTGGGGCTGTTGTACCACCGTAGGGAGTCTAAGGTATAACAGGTCATCTGCTCTCTTGCTTTGGGCCTACACTATTGCGTGTTCCAACAACTATACTTTAATGCTGTGTTACAGAACAGCTTGGAAAGACGAATTGTGCTTATCATGGAAAATAGATGTAGGAACATAAGCAAAACTTCTTATGCCTGCTTGATTTGTGAACAGCTCAGTGTGGGTGTTTGAATATGGTAAAATACTGTTGGGGGGGGTTCTGTTTCTATAGATTGTATTTTGGTTTTAATGGTCCAAAACCTTGGAGAAAAATTTTTCTTTCCACTCTCAACGTAGTGTTGATTCACCTGATAGATAAGAAATACGGGACAGACTCTTACTTTTTGAATGTGCTGTGTTTAAAGTTCTTATGTAGTTAAGCTAAAGAGCTGGATTATGATTCTTCAGTGTACATTTAACGCTTACCACCTGGTTGGTATTTGATTTTTTTTTTTTTGGTAAGAGAATTTCCTCCTTTCTGTAGTTACGAAATTGGTATGGAAAAAATTTCAAGAAATTACTGCAAATGACTCTTCAATACAAAATGTAGTTGTTACAGTTTAATTCAGCATTGCTCTTTAAATGTTGATATCCTTAATGAAATCACTGTGAACAAGTTTGGTTGGAGTTGTGCTTCACACAGCACATTCTTTGCTCACATAGAAATGCAAGTTTGGCTTTAAAAAAAAAAGCACAGGTAGGCAGGTAGGGTTTATAAGCCTCAGCTTGTTTCTGCTGAGGAGTTACTGTTCTCTAGTCAGTTTAGATTGCAACTTGTTCAGCTTTTCCTTAGCAGTTATCTTCTGAATCATCTGTTTGAAGGGGACTGTAAAGAGAGTCCCTGACAGTGGGATGGCTGAGCATTGCTAATCAGGGATATTTGCTACAGGGCTGCATACCTGCCCACCTGAAACCTGCCCAGGAATGTCATTAGATTCTTGGTGAGCTCCAGTGACCAAGATACCTTTTTATATATCATCTGAAACAGTGCAATTAATCAAAGACATGGGAGAGCAGTTACTATGCTGTAAGATGTTGAAATTGGCTCTGCTGTGTGAACAAAGCTAAAGCAGTAAGCTCCCCGTTGGGAATGCTTAATAAAAAGGCTGTCAATTACATGTTTGTGGGTATTTTATTTTGCTGCCATTTTGTTAAGCCTTAAACTTTTCAGAGGGTGTGCTAGTAGACAAAATTGATTTTATGTGTTGCTCAAATCAGTCTCCTTGGAGACTGCTGAAAAGAGTTGTTCGTGCTTTTAATTTGGAAAATGTTTATCCTTTTATTTTTTATGCAGTTTTTTGGGAGCAGTGAGTCAGTACCATTTATATGGGAAGTGTTTGTTTTGCAGCTTGACATAAATTGAAATAAACTAAGTATTGCTAGCAAGTTGCCACCTTGGAACAACATTTATCCCCTGAATGTGGAAAGTGGAAAAATCAATTGATTCAGGATTTTGTTTGTTGATATGTGCTGCGCTGAGCCTCTAACTCCTGGTTGGTAACCCTGGAAGCTACCAGGGGTAGTACCTGATGGAGGTAGATGAATGCTCTATTACAGTCTGACTGTCATTTCACTTACTCTCTTTGAAACTTTTCATTCATGTATCATAAAAGAAAGTGTAAAGGTCAGTAATGTAACAGTGCTGTTAAAAGCAGTTGCTTTTTGAAACTAATAACAAAATACGTGGCTAAGAGGAAAAGGTGATACTGTGATCTTAACCCAACTACCATTAGCTGTACTTTAGGTACTGCCCCTGAAGTGCAGGCAATGCAAATTATTTTCTTTCAATATCAGAAAATTGCAGGTTATTTGTTTCTGGATACAAAGTATCGGGACTGATCAGTTTGTTTAGTAATCTGTTGAAACCAATATATAGTTGCAAAGAATCTAACTGTTACTGCTGCTTTCCAGGCTCTTTTTCCAATTTGACAGTTGAAATTTTTTAGTTGTCCAAGTAAAAATGTGAACTCATGGGTTGGTGACATTACAGCATATCAGAGGCCACATAACAATTCTGAATCTTATTTTCTGTGCTTGAAGGTATTTCAGTAGTGTTTTTTGACTATTAGGAGGTGAACCTTATTGTGGATTATACAAAACATTAGTAGAATTGGAGAATAAAGTTTTAAATGACAGCTTTGTACTATGTTGGTTTCTGTTATGTTCTCCTTCTCGGAGTGTTCTGTGTTTTCCTAATGAATTGTTTCTCTTTTTCTGATTAGGTGATTTCAGAATGGTAATAGGAGAAGACAGATGGAAAGTGCAGAACATAGTGAAACCTAATGTTCCCCATTTTCAGAAGCTGTACAGTAACATATTACAGGACTGCCCTCAAGTGGTATATAAGCACCATCTGGGAAGACTAGAGGCAAGTGTTCTTCAAAACATTTTTAAAACAAGCAAGTGGAAGTGCTTTATCACATTGACAGAAGGCAAGAATTATGCCATGCAGTAAGGAGAGCAGTTGTAGTCACTGTACTTGCTATTTGTTATGTTTCTGTTGTTTAGGTAATTCTGCAGCCAGGAGACTTGCCTTTAATACCAGTCTCTGCATATGTAGTAACTACTCTTCATTTTGAGAATGGGCACAGAACTAGATGCCTAGCAAGGGAACAAGAGAAGATAATTTTAAAATGTGTGTTCTAATGACTACCATGTGGAAAACAACAGTCTAGGAAGTGATGAATAAACATATGGTTTTTGTTAAAAAGATTAGGCCGTAATTTAGAGGTGCAACTTTCTGCAATCAAGAACGGCATCTCACAAAAAAACCCCTGGAGTGCTAGTTATGAAGATCAGTTGACTGAAACCCAAATGAAATTCTGGCATTATCTTTAAATACCCATACTAAAACATTTTTTGTCCTAGTATTTAGGAAACAGGTATTCAAAACGACCAGTATGTTGAATTCCATCTTTCTTGCACAAGGTATAAGTGTAACATTGCAATTAGGGGAGAGGTGCCACAGTCAGGGGTCCAATAGCAATTTTTCCTCTTGAATATTCACACACAGACATGCACGCTACAAGCGTAGTATACATTTCAACATGAAGTTACAAATAGTATGAGTTGTCTCGTGGACACAGGTATTTCTTTATCCTCAAGTCACCTTGGTAATTACCTCACAAATGCCTCCTTTTAGGACGTGTCTTTGTTAGAAGCTGAAGTACAGTTGTAAGCAAGCTTGAGTACAGAAAATAATTTACTGCAACGCTTTGGAGTACAGCGTCGGCAAATCTGTATTACACTGCATCTGTCTCCATGCTTTCCTACTGGTGTGCTTTTGAACAGTTTAGTGGAAGAAGTAATTAAATGAATTTTGAAAAGAATCAGTAATGCTTTCTCCAAGAAAATGTCTAGTTAGAATAACATTTGCTGTTGTGTTAGCTTGAAACAAGTCCTAGTAGCATACTACAGATGTATTGTTGGATAATAAAGCTGTCCATAATTCCACAATAGTCTTCGAGGCTGTTGATTAAATGCCATCATTTTACTGTTGATTTTGAGCAAAGTGCTTTAATACTTTATTCCTCACACCTTGGTCTGGTTATTGGCAGTTATTCCCCAGACTGAAGAGGATAACTACGATCGGGAGTGCTGTTTAATACTGAAGGGAAACCCCTTCTCCAAGCATATGTCTTCAGAGTTACAGAGAAAATTATTTCTTAAAAGCTTCCTCAAAAACAATTGAAGGCAGACACTAGTTCTTACAGTTCTGGTTCAGGCGTGGATTCCTCCCACATGATGTTAAGAGCCTGCTCATTGTCGGCTTCCTCTGTAGTCAGTGGGTGATTCATCTGGATATCATTTTCTCCCCATTGACTTAAAGGGAGTGTATAGGGCAACTAGAGATTCCCATCTGATGTGTCCATGAACTGTCTAAAAACTTGTGTAGGAGGAATCGAGCTCTTCATATTTTCCTCCAGTTTTGGAGACATTTGCTTCATTATGCATTTTTCAGTATTTTTGTTTACATTTTGTATAAATGTGTGCAGGCCTGCATGTTGGTATCATTGTATTCAAAAAAGGGTTATAGAATTTCTGATTTAGATTGGAAAATGTGGAATGAATGTTTCTTTCAAATTATACAAACCAGATGTGGTTTGAGTTTAAAGGAGAGAAAATGTTTTTCAAACTAAACCTGAAATGTGTGTGTGTATAGTTTGATTATATTCAGGCAGAAGAAACTGAGCTAAGTGGTCTTTTGGGAACTTTTTTTTTTTTTTTCACTGTAGTGTACTTATGTTTCCAAAGGAAATTGGATAGATCAAAAATTAGAAAGTTTCAATGAAAAGTTGCTTGCAGAGGCAGAAAGATCATGTCTGTACATTAGTCTTTCCTTGAATAAAAATTAACACCTTTGCATTGAATTATTCTTCAGGTTCAGGACTGAGATACTGCATTTCCCAGTGCTTGGGAAGTTTTCATTAGCATTATAAATGACTTTTACAAGTGAAATAGTGTTCATCGAGATGTTTATCAGAGGCCAGAGATAGCCAGAAGACTTCCTTGAAAAAGAGAACTTCATTAACACTGAATGTTTTTACTGCCTTATTTTTAATAACATTCAGATTGATAAAAGTCCAGAAGGTCAATTTACACAACTAATGACTTTGCCAAGGACTCTGCAACAAAAGATAACTTCTCTGGTAGACCCTCCTGGAAAAAACAGAGATGTGGAAGAAGTTTTAATGCAAGTTGCCCATGACCCTGACTGTGGATTTGTGGTGCATCAAGGTAGGCCTATATCAGTGTCTGTAAACTCCCTTAAGACATGTTAGATATCCAGGTTTACAATATATGTTCTTCTAATTCAGAAAGATGATTTATAGAGAAGGACGAAGAAAACAAGAGATTAATTATGAGATACATTCCTGGAAGCATGTTTTTGGATTTGTTTGATTGCAAACAGGTTAACTGAAATACTAGCAAATAGCATTCCTAATGATACAGAAAGATATTTTTTGGTTTGGGTCCTGAGAGAAGCAGTCTTCAGGAATTAGTGTGGCCTGCTTAGACCATTTAACCCTTTTTGGGATGCTTGCATCTTCAGGTTTTCATTGGCTGGCATAACTTCATCTAAATACTAAGCTATATATCCTACCAGTCATACATTGCAATGCTAAGTTAGTTTTCTGGCTTGCTGACATTAACCTTCCCAGTCATTGTAGTCCAGATACGTAAGCTCTGGCAGAGAACTCGAGCTTTGAGGAAAAAGATTGAGGTGCTTCACATCATCACAGCTGCTTGGAGGCAAGATTGTGTAGTACAAGCAAGTTGAAGCTAATGCTGCAGACATCAATGTTTTATTATTCTGCAGAAAAATGAAAATGCTTAGTACTTGAAGAGTCTTTTACATCTGTAAAGAACCTGATGCATCTTAGTTCCAGGTGGCCAATTTTGCAAGCTTCTTGAGCACAGCAGAAACTCCCTAGATGCCTGAGAGCCATTAGACACTAGCCAACTGCTGAGGGAGCTCTTATGCTGATTTCTCTTTGGTGAAATAAAGCTCCTGAGAGTTGCAGTTCTTTATTGGCAGTATAGGATGAGTTCTACCTGGTGTCCAGCTCCTTCCATGTCAGTTTGTGGCAACTTTCATGCTGCTATGGCTGGACTGCCACAGTAATGTGATAATAGCTGAATCTGGGAGCAGGAGTTGCAGTGTTGTGAGCTGCACAGAATCACAGGATCGTTTGGGTTGGAAGGGACCTTAAAGCTCAGCTAGTTCTAACCCCCTGCTATTAGACCAGGGTGCTCCCAGCCCCGTCCAACCTGGCCTTGAACCCTTCCAGGGAGGGGGCAGCCACAGCTGCTCTGGGCACCCTGGGCCAGTGTCTCACCACCCTCACGGGGCAGAATTTCACCCTTAAATCTAATCTAAATCTGTCCTCTTTCAGTTTAAAACTGTTACCCCTTGTTCTACCCCCACCCCCTGACGCAGAGTCCCTCCCCACCTTCCCTGTCCCCCCTTTAAGCCCTGGGAGGCCGCTCGAAGGGCTCCCCGGACCCTTCTCTTCTCCAGGCTGAACCCCCCCCAACTCTCTCAGCCCGGCCTCCCCGGGGAGCTGCTCCAGCCCCCCCAGCATCTTCGTGGCCTCCTCTGGCCCCGCTCGAGCAGCTCCGTGTCCTTCTGCTGTTGGGGGCCCCCGAGCTGGGCCCAGCACTGCAGATGGGGGTCTTAGAGAATCCCCTCCCTGGACCTGCTGGCCATGCTGCTTTTGATGCAGCCCAGGCTATGGTTGGCTTTCAGCACACGTTGCTGGCTCGCAGTCAATTTTCCATCCACTAATACCCCCAAGTCCTTCTCCACAGGGCTGCTCTCAACCCACTCCTCGCCCAGCCTGGATTTGTGTGTACAGTTGTAGAGCTTCAGGTTGTCCTGCCTGAGCTAACTGTCCTTGCAGTTGGACGTCCGTAGGGTACTGCGGGCAGGGCTGTGACTGCAGACTCTGCACAGTGGTGCAGCAGTTCAATATCAAAACACTGGATAGATCTAATCTTTTCAAGCCAAGTAGTTTATACGCTTAGGAGAACAAAAACACTCTCACTTTTGTGGCCAAAAGATTTTCCTAATTCAGGAATCTGGGTAGAGGATGGCCAAGCCATTTGGTAATCTTACAAGAGAAAGCTGATTACTCAAGTTGAATCGCGTTGTTCCTGGGTATTTTACCAGCTCAACATGATTTGTTCCCTTCCACTCCCCACCCCTGTCCCCCCAAATTATTTTCCAGTGGAATATTGTATCCCCCTTACTTACTCATGGATTTTCCTAAACTTTTTTATTCGTTATAGAAGTAGCCTTGAAAAAAGGATTTAAAAATATTTGAAATTATATTCTACGTTCTGGTTAGCGCAGAAGAATAACTTTCAGTTTGGACGACTAACTCTGGGACTGCTGCATTTCTACATTTTTAAGTGTTTAGTAATGTGCAGTAGTTTTCTTCTGCACATATCAGTATTAAATGTTTTATATGTCTATTTTATATATCAGTTTTATATATATGTGTTAGAACAAATAAGACTTAACACTTTTCAAAAAAAGTTTTAATGTTTTACATACTATTCCATTAATACCTAAGAACCACTGGAGAGTGAGAACTGAATGTGCCACAGTACGAAGTGGTAAATGAGCCTTATCTCCAAAAGCTGATAATTTAAGAAATCCAGGCAAACACTGCACAATATCAGCATCTCTACTTGATCAGAGAAGTGCAAAATCCCAATTTCATATTGAAGTAAACACTGAGCATAATTTGTTGTGCTCTAGAAAGCTTATCTACCAGCACTTAGATGGAACAACTCTGAATCCTTTGTGACTAGTTGTTTTAGTAGAGAAATAATGGGAACACTTAATAAATTTGATCAATTCCTACTGGTTGTTATCTGTTTTAATATTGATTTGTTAGGGTTTTGTTTTTTTTTTTTCCTGTATGCTATATAGAAAATAAGTTAAAATAGCTTAAAGAATATTTTCAGTTAATACGGCAAAGCAGAACAGAAGCAAACTTTCTCAGCTTAAATGTATGTTTTACTTTTAGGCTGACTTTATTGTATAACTGGAAAAATATTTAATGCTTTTGTGTATGTTGGAGGATAAAAAAATCCCCACAAAACTGCTGAGATGGGTAACATCTGTGTGCTTTTCTATCTGCAGGCATTTCGGCAATTGTGAGATCTTCCAGTATAGTGCAGAGCGCTAAAACCATACTAACAGCTGGTAAGAATGTGTCTGATGTCTGTTGACACAGGTCTTCTGATTTCACAAACGAAAAATTATAGGGCCCAAAGACTGCCCTGTTACCATAGTTTAAGGAATAAGCTTTTGGGGTACCTAATGGCAAGCCCCTGAAAAATAAAAGTAATATTTTAAGCAGAAGCTTTATGTAACTATTGAGTAAATGTAAGATGCCAAAAGGAACCAGGGTCTATATGACTCTTAGACAAACAAACAAAAAACCCCAGCGCCCCAAAAGTAACAAAAAACCAACTTCTGACTTTGAATTAATTTTATATGTGGGCCAGATTTGGCTCATGTGCACTAGTTCTGCTCTTTTTGTATCAATAAATTGAAAAAATTACTTATAGTTCACTCTGGCTTTCTACATGCGAGTGGATCCCTACGTGATCAGTACATAGAATTGGTATTATGTAGCCTATAAGGTTATTTCATCACAAAATAAAGGAGGGGGATGAGTTTTGAGGGAGAGAACTTTGGCAGGATCTGATGTTTTTGTCGGGCTTGGAAGATAGGTGTGTATTTGAAGACAATATTTGGTGACCATTAGATATTACTGTAACTGTCATACTTTAACATTAATTACTTCAGAAAAAGAGTTGAGTATTAAAAAGTCAGTGTGAGAGAAGATGTAGAAGGAAAAAAAAAAGGACTTGCTTGGGTAGAAGCCTGGGAAAAGTAGGGATACTTTTCAGATATCAAAGTCTTCCTAACTGAATGAAAGTTACTGCCAGTTACATATCTGGACCTTCATCCTGTTTTCTGAGTTCTGGAATAAATCTAATTTAAACGTGACCTGACTTTTAAATTTTAAAAAGCTGAAAACACTGCAGCTCAAAGAAAGACTTAAGACCTGAGCCTTCGTTTACTTTGATCAGGACATAGTTTTAATTCCTGCAAAGTGAAAAATCCTTGCTGCTTGCATGAAATTGCTCAAATAATTTTCTCAACTCATTCATACCTATTCCTAATTCTTCCACAAAAGCAATTATATACAAATGATACCATTACTGGTTTTAAAAGCAGGTGTATAGTTTCCTACTGAGCAGTCCTTATCCAGACTGCTACAGCTGCTTTCCCTTCCCATGTAGTATTAAAGTCGGTGGTTCCATGTTATACTGCCTACCTCCTTGTAAAGAAACACAAGTTGCAGTATTCAGGACCATTAGTGGTCTGCTGAGTAAAATAAGCAGTACTTTTTATATGTTTCTGTTAATAGTCTAGTTCTATTAACTGGAAGAAGTCTGACAAACCTATTGCCTAACTTTATTTAGTAGCTGGAGTAGACTAAGGATGTAACTCCATCTGAGAAAAGCAAATTTTTACTTTATGTGAGTTAGGCATATTGTAGGTATTAGTTTTTAATGTAAGGTTTCCAACCAAATAGGTGATGTTTTTCTTCTAGGGTTTGTTGTCAGAATTACCTGCTACCGGTCAAGGCTTTTTGTACTGTAATGTGCCTCTCTCCAAAATATCAGCTTGTAACCCATCTGTTTATAAATCCATGGAGAGTAGATTTTGTAGAGCAAAATAATTGGAGGGGAGAGGTCAAAGACAGCGTTACCATGTTGAATTCAGTGCTTGGGAAAGTTAGCAGCCTGACTGACCTGTGGAGCAAAGCAGTTTGTAACTGCAAGAGTATGAATAAAAGTGGCTAAACTTTGTCAGATTATTTATGTTCCTCTTCTGTCCTGATAGACAGAAAATCACCTCTGGGAACTGTTAGCTCCTTTTGAGTGTCATGCAGTAAATCGCTTACAGCCTACATGGTTACTAGGACTTTTGGGGGGTCCTAATACATCTTTTAGTAGGACTTGTAATTTTTACCATGTTTTCTATTTTGTGTACCTGAAAGTAGCTATTTGTGAAATGCCTTTTCTTTCCTTTGTCTTACCTGCTTTTTGGTTTATATATAGTGACTTTTTTTTTTTTCCCTTTAAAACAAACTCCAGTTGTTTTCTAACCTGCCAGTTACATAGAGTAACACTTATATCCAAACCCATGTATTTTCTACTAGTGCTTTTAGTGTTGAAAATGCATTTTTTTTCAGTTTGATTCGGGTAGAGCAAAGCAATTGCAATCCTTTGCCTCAAACACAAGCCAAGTTTGAGCAAGGAGGCTTGGGAGCGTTTAATTTTCTTACTTTTAGCGTAATTTAGTTTGCTTTATTTTAGCAGTATTTATGCACTTCTGCCAGAATCTGGCCAAAACCATTAGTAACAGAGTTCAGGATTGATCTTTTGGGGTTACTCACAGATTCTGTGCTGAGGGAAATGAGTTTGATTTGGAAAAAGGACTGTTTCTGGCAGTTTGTAACCCCTGAATGCTGTGTAATGACCTCCAAGCTCGCCTGCAGAGCTGACCTGCCCGAGCCCTGCCGTGCTGGCCACCGCAGCTGGAGCCCGGGTGGCCCACGCTTCCCTCGGGCTCGGGAGCGTGCCTGTGGCGAGTGCTGCTGCACACGAAGGGAGTGTTGTCTCGCTTGCTAAGCTAGGCACAGCCCCGCTCTCCGACCAGCCTCTGCGTGGCTCGTACCAGAGCACCACCAGTTTCACTCACTGAAGAGGGACAGAAACACAGAAAGAGTATTTTTGTAATAAAACCCCACGTTGCTGCGCACATTAAAGAAGATATTTAATTCACCTGACCAGGGGTATGACCTTGGTATTTTTCAGATGTGATATTTGTATGATCTTCAATGATCTTCCCTGGAACTTAGGACAGAGGGGTTTCCATGGGTCTGGGATTTAGTAGAAGGCTTTTGCCCATTTTTTTGTTTGTTAGTTTTTTATGAATATTTCTCTCCAAACATTTATGACTGAGTTTATTAGGTCTTGCTGTATCTTCGACTGAAGATTTTCTCCCAGTTGCAGTTTCTTAATTTAAGAAATTCATCACTAGGGGGCAGGCATTAATGCTGCACACCTTGCTTTCCCATTTCGTGGGGCTCTTACTGGCTAGTATTCGTATAGATACATACTACACACACACACAACATTGTGGCTCCTACCCTGAAAGTATTTTCTTGATGCATGCAAGGAATCTGTGTTACAGGAAAGTGTTGAGCATTTAAATTTAATCCCTAAAGATGCTGTATTTCTTTCCTCACTCCTTAACCAAATCTTGCCTAATGTTCTGTTCCCCAAAGACCTATTTTCACACTTCCTAGTAGAGACTTTAGAAGAAGTATTATGGCTCTGTCCTTCTGCAGTGCTTATCTTAAGAATCATAGCTACATTACTAGAACTATGAAAGAGATTCATGAAATCAGTGGCTCCGTTAAATAAGCTCTGACTATTTTTCTTGCTGTTCCTGGTAACAGTGCAAGTACTTTTGTCCTGTGTCTGCTTGCAAAAGAATTTGTTTTCATGACATGGCCATCGTTCTTTTTGAAATGTAATGAGGGACAGGGAATTATTTCCTTAGCTGATTGTTTTATCTTAACAGCAACAACAAAATGAAATACTCTGGTCTGTAGCATGGTAGTCCAATGTACACCATGTATCTAAATTAAATGTTAAATCAGGAATAGTTGTTGCTGAGATGGCATGCTGTCTATTAACAGTATTGGCAGGGAGCAAAAGGAAAATAAAGAATTTCAACCCATTTAAGAGAACTTTTTTCATCTTTCTCTGCCAGCGTGGTTTTAAAGTTGAGCTCAAGCTCTATGTTTTTGTTTGTTGTTAAATGCCCTATTTAGTTTTTGAAAATGTGCCTATGTATTTCTTTGAGTCTGTGGTGGTGAGTTTGCCTCTGTTTCCCATTAGAGATGGCACCATCATTTGATTTATTTTACCACATAGCCAGAGCCTGCATGGTCTTTGAGAACTAACTCTGAAGTTCTTATATTTAGCTCCTCTGAGGGAGATGTGGATACTTCTTTAGCTTAGGCTTCTTCTTTATATTTTACTAGAGGAATGCTGCAAGCCTTGACAATTTCTTATAAATAAAATACTGTGAATTAAATCATCAGTTGAAGCAATTGTTCAAGATACTTTTAAGTTAGCACAAATGCTTGTAGCTGCTTTGAATAACATTTGTTTTCTTAGAACTGGCATTTTAGTGTACTATGTCTTCAAGGAATTATTTTTTTATATATCTATAAGGAGCAGCTTTACGTATGAAATATTCTGTCGATTTGTGATAACTGCTGTCTTCATCAGCTGCCTGAGCAGATACTGCATACCACTGCACTTCACTGTAAATATGTGTAAGAAGTCTGCATGTGTCTGTGCATGATACACTGACAATATATCATTATGTGCCTCCCCATGACAGCTCTTCAGCAGTATATGCATTAGTCTTTCTTTTCAAAAAGAAATAAAGAATACTGGTCAGGCATATCTACCAGGAAACTTTGGGAGACTTATAGCCAAATTACTGTCTTTCAATACTAACACTTCCAAAAAACTGAACATACGTCGTTAAGTAAAACCAGATACAACTTATGTTTACACTGAAATTTTGTGGTCTTGATTCCATGTGCATTAGGACTTTGTTCTGTATCATAGTGGAAAAATCTAAAGGGGAGGTGGAACCACCAAGTCATAGATTCATAGCTAAAGTAGAAAGACATTTTCATGTGGTCCAACTGCTTCAGATTCTGAGACTGAGCCATAATTGCAGCCATTAACTTTTACTACAGATGTGACTCATCACCCTGAGGGCTGCTTTAAGAAACCAGCTGTATGTATAAACCTGTATTTTGCTTTGTAGCATGATGTGCTAGGGCAGAAATGTAAGCATCTTATTACATAAGGCTCTGGTGGGTGGAGTTCAGTAGAGTGCTCCCTGCAGGGGGAAAATACGAAGGAGAAAAATCCCTTTATGTTGAGCTGCTGCAAGAGGCAGAGTAGGTTGGCAAGCTGATAGAACAAGCTGACTTGCAGGCTGCCGTGCCTGCGCAGCTAATTACAGTCCTGCAGGGCTGTGTCAGCTGTGTTACTGTTGATTTGCCACATGCAGTTCCAGAAGTACACTGAAGTCATTGGAATGGCAGAACAACATGGATTCTGGTAGAGCACTTTCAGTATTCGAGGGGCTGTATCCTGGAAGTGTGGTACCTAGGAGGCTAGACAGTAATTTTCAAAGCCGTACAGTTACATAGTTTTAACTTTGGAGATGGGAACCACTCCTTTCATTTATGTGCTATGCCTGAGCTTGGTCTAGCCTTGTTCTGCAACTGGAATTCTTACACTGTGTGCAATTTTCATGCAGATATGTAAGGCGCTTCAGAATTCACATGATTATTTACTTGTTATTTGAGATGCTGCAAAGGAAAGCCCATCGTGACTTCATTAGTGTGCTTGCTTTCAGCAGCAAACCTATTAGATATGGAAAAGTTTGAGCTTACATATGGGATGCACATGGCTTTGTAAGTTGAAAATAGATGTATGGATGATTCCTCACAAAAGGTAAAGTCGAGTTTATTTAAATTGCAATTAGAGACACGAGAAGTGCAAAACTGATTATATACAGCATATTTGTCATGATAGGCTTTTCATTCTCTATCGTATTCCTTCAGAAATAGAGCATGCACTTTTCCTTATTACTGCATACTCGCTTGACTTCTTGTGACTCTAGACTGCTAATACTGAATGCATATTTCACTTAAAGTATTTTATCTTCATTTGATTACTTTCTAAGGTCCTTTTAAAATCAAATATTATCACACCCTTCCTGCCGTCCCCCCCAAATGTCCAGTGCAGAAGGTGGCTAAACCTGGGTCTAAGTTGCTCGTTTGTTCCAGAAGGGCCAGGTCTTTCCTTGTGTTCTGGAGAGTCATACTGTGTGACTTTTGGCTAAATTGCTTCTGTGTACTTTCAGTCAGTATTGTTATGTAAACAGTATTCTATTAAATAAACATAAGAAAGATTGTAGTATGTATAATATATCATAATTTTTAATCTGCATGTGTCAAAATTAAAGCTTTTTGTGCAGCATTAAAAACTTACATTTTCAGTTTCGGATTTGTAAGGGTGTGATTAGACTGTGTTGTAATCTGAAAAGTCACTCTGTGTTTGATGTTGTTTTATTTTTCTGTATTGGGGTGTTTTTTTAATCAAAAAAAGCTAGAAGGGGGGAAAAACAAGTAGCTCCACTGGCTGGGAGCTCAGAAACCAGCTGAAATGCCAAGACTAATAACATTTTGGTTTTAAGTTTCCAAATACTAGATGACTAAACCCAGTAAAAGGCTGAGTCTTTTTTTTTTTTTTTTTTTTACTTTAGGTCTGTAAGAGAGAGCTCATCTCTGGTAGAACTTCAGAAAGTGTTTAAGGGTCCACTTTGCACATTATGTGGGAGTCATCCTCAATCCCTTCGTATATAAAACTTGTAAAAGCTCAGAGGCAGTGACTACCACAAAATCCTTCTGTATCTTTACAAAAATTGAGAAATGCCTTCCTTTTTTGTAGGCTTAGTGTAATGGTATGATATTTACCAAAGTTCACTCCTCGTGGGTTACTGCAAGGTGATGTGGTGACAGCTATTCTGGCTTCATATGAGGTTTATTATAAACAAGTGGCAGGCAGGTTACTCTGAAGCAAAATTGGTTCAGACAACATCCCTGTGACAGAGTATTCACACTGGTGACCATGGTATGCTGCTGATATTGGCAGTGTTGCCAAATTATAACTGTTTGTCATAATCTTGTTATTTTTGCTTCTTTCAGTTCACCTGGGTGTATGCCTTATCTGTTTTTCCATACCCATTATCATTTCAATATTATCTTTTTTTTTATATAAGGACACAAATGTCATTTCATTATGCAAGTTGAGCAGTTTTATTCTTTCAGTTTTGAAATGATAGCTGCCATTAGTTTGGATGAGGCAATAACAAAATACTCAAGGAGGTTGTAATGTATTTTATAACTTGTTGAAACCAGAATAGATTTCCATCTCAATAGTCAGCAGCATATTTCCTATGAAAAAAAAAAAACAATTTTCTGTTTTCACTTTTAATTCACAAGTCTTTGCATAGCAATGCTCTGGGTTGGTTTATCCTGGAAAGCTGCTGGTGGTGGGCAGTGTTTGATTACATTTAATCAAGGTGGGCATCAGTGTGATGCTTCTCAATTCTAACTGTGTAGAATTGGTCTACAAGGCAAGCAAATGCCTGATTTATAGCATCAAGCAAGGCTAACTAAAATCTGATTAGCAGAAGAAATTGGTAAAGTAAGATTTGGAAGTATAAAGCTTATTGTCTACCAGTCATGCAGAGTTTGCTTGTTTTGCTTGGGCAGGCTGTCCTTTTTTTTGTGGTTCTTCCCTCTCTTTCTCCTTTCCGTTTGTCCTTTCAGTAAAATTTTGGCTGCACAGCTTTGGGCATAGCTGTGGTTCTTGATGGTTAGGCCTCATCTGATCTACCAAATCTGGTAGTGGGCTCCTATCTCAAGAACCAAACTGCTTTGATAACTAGATTCTTCTCACAGACGTGGCCAGCTAATTAACCTGCACACCTAACAGCCTGGATTTCTCTAAATAATCCTGCTTGGGTGTCCTGCTGCAGAACACGGTCTGTCAGGTTGCTGGTGGCCATTAGCAGGCCAGAGTACAGTCCGACTCAGCTGGACGTGCCACCTAGCAGTAGATCAGAAAGGGCTTGAAAAGCATCACGTATTGATTTGGTGAGGGGCTGCAGTAGACCCAGGTGGGTTAAAAGCCTTCCTGTATTTACCGTGTATGAACGATAATGCAAATTAGAAGTTTCCCTCTGTACTGGTTAAGGGCTTTATCATGAATCTCTACATTTGCTATACCTTGGTCATTGTCTATCCAATGTGTTTATATGCAGCATTGTCAGGCCTTCAGAATGAACCTATTCTATTTTGCATGCTTCGATACTATTAAAAGTAATTTTTTGTGTCATTATTTACTGTGTTATGAATGCGACAAGAAGGTTATTTGCATGTTTGCCTAATGGATTAGGCTGTCATTCTTCCAGGGAAATATTTTACTTAATGTAATAAGAAGCAACTATTTGAGTTAGACTTCCTAAATGTTGATTTTTTTCTGGGTTCTGTGTCTTTTTTTTTTTTTTTAGGGGCAAAGAAATCTGTAACTTACAGTATGAAGAAATTATATAAAATGACAAAGGGATGGTTAAGGAAGACATCTTGAGTCTTGACATACTGTGTATGGGTAAATAAATGGTACTTTTTCTCAAAATATTTTGCAGATGTTGCTTTGCCTACTTGAGAAGATTGAAGTGCATTTCAGAAGTCTGTTCTAATAATTTACATGCCCAGTTTTACTACTGAAGTAGGAATTTTTGTTAGTGGGGGGGTTCGATGGTGATAGGGCAAAGGAATAATACTCTGTAAATACTGAAATGAATTTTCCTGTATACTATAGCTTGGATTTTTTGAAACCCTGAGCAAAAAGGATTGATTGTATACATCATTTAAAACCCAAAGCCACTCATTTTCTATGTATTGCTAGCTTTATTTTCCAAAATACTCTTGGGCTCTTTCAAAATAATCACTGTCCTAACTTTACTTCTGTCAAGGACTTACAGAACTGGAGAGTCCATCGAGTCTTAGGTAGATCTGAAACTGTCCTCTCAAAATACATTATTTCTGCACTTACATGTTTGTCCTTGGACTTCTTTTGAGGATGCTTACTGGGTGCTTCTGCAGGATAAACTTCATGAAAAGTAATTTTTTTTCTCAGATGTGTGACATTCTGAATCCAAAAACTTCGACAATGACCTTGTGTGGGAAAGAGTGTTTGAAATGAGAAGTCTGTCAGGTATCAGATCCTTTCATAAAAATTGTATTTTCTTTCATGAGACTGAGATGATAACTGCCCAACTTATGGCTATGCATTTCAGAAGTGTCATAGTTGGAAGGAAAATCATACTTTCATTGACCTTCAAGACCTACTTGTGCAGATTTACAAAATGTGTGTTGTTTGGCAGAAGATTCTAAGTGCTTTAAAGTTGGGAATTTTATGAACAAAAATACCTGCTGTTTGGTTCTTTGATTATTATTTTTTTTCCTGAAAGTACTGTCCACAAAGGTAAAACTTGATCTCCCTTGCTTTAATTAAATTAGCTTAACTAAATAAAATTGGTCTTTTATATAACGTGTTACATTAATCATGCCATTAAAGAATGGACGTTTCTGGCGGTATTCATGTGTGATGCAATAAATTTGGAGCATCTGTTGTAAATAGAATATTTTTTGCACTGAGTCAGGTGGGTTTGCTAATTTGGGGTGCTTTTCTTCATAGAAAAAAAATGAGGAAACACTTCATTTTATTTGTGAGAGTGCCTGATAAAAAGAATATCAAGGTAAAAAAAATGAAATAAAATATATACTACCTGATTAGCATGTATTTTTTTTTCCTTGTGTATTATGTTATCAGTAGGGCTAGCTCTCAAGCTACATTTGATTTAGTGATCTCACTTAAAAAAAAAAAATTGGAATGAAATTGGCTGCTAATTGTTTCCAGGGAGAGAAATTCAAAGCATAAATTTCAGAAAGAAGACAGAAAATATATCATTATATGTAATATGACTCATTCAGGCTTACTTTAATCACAGAGGAACTTTTAAAATATTGATTATTTGAAAATATTTGAGTTTAAAGTGGTAAAATTTGAATCCAGAGTCAGGAAATAAATGTCTTTTTTTTTCTTTTTTTTTTTTTTTTTTTTTTATATTCTTGGAAAATATTATTACCGTAAAATAAGGTCATAGACAGATTCCTAACATTTGCATTATGTGTTGATAGATCTAGAATCTGTAAGACAGATCCCCTCAAATGTCCCTTTTCTGATATTAGGAGGCTGACTAACCTTTTTATGGTGGCATATTCTGCAAAAGAAGTGACTTCAACTAGAGAATGTCTGTATGTATGGTACTAGTATTCTCTGTCCCTATTAGTAAAGGGCCAAAGTCCCCGATGCAAAAAGATTATAAGAAATAGAGCTAGGGAATTTAAGCCACTCACTGCTTAAATGAAATTAACCCTGGGTTTTGGCTATTTTTTTTTTGTTTGTTTGTTTTTTTTTGTTTTGTTTTGTTTTGTTTGCATGAAGAGGTTGCTTTCTGGATAATCTAGAAGTCTTTTATACAAAATATACCCTATCCACCTTAAAATTGACTTCATATGTAGTGAAGACTTGAAATTGCCATGTGATTTTTTTTTTTTTTTTTTTTTTTTTTTTAACATTTCAGCATAAGCTCTAGTAAAAAGAAATCTGAAATCAGATGTTGACTCACTTAGGTATGCTTTGTGGAAAATTCTTAAGAACAGAGAATACTGAGCCCAATGGTAGGAACAGACCCCGACAGACACAGAGCTTTTGGACAAAATGAACAGCACGAAAAAAGATTCAGAATGGAGCCATGACCTTCTGAACGAAACAGTTACCAGGTAAGCAGTGCAGTGCTGGCAGAACTGCCTGGTTTAGTCATCTAACAAAGTAACAGCTTTTATGTTTTTGTCCCAAAGGAAGTACAGTGTAGGGGAAGCGGAAGCATGGGCAAAAGACTGATTTTTACACCAGCAATGTGGTGGTAGCAAATCTTCAGTACAGTAAAAATGTATTTTTTGGGGGGGAGGGGTGTGGAGGGAAGAGTCCTCATCTGTGAAGGCCTTAGGATACAAAAAAAATGTGGAAACTGCAACTGACAGCACATAATGTGTCAACTGGTAGGAAACAGGACAACTTCCAAAATAATCTTCTGCATGAAGAGTTAGCAGAATGAATGATTTATTTATTTTCAGTGTAACTGAGTTTTATATGTTCTGGGCTTTCTTCTGCAGCTGTGTTGATTTTCTTTTAGGGCTATGTGAAAAAGGATCTAAGTGAGCCTTAACTCCCTCTGAAGGAGGGGATACTCACCACTGGGGAGGATTTGTCCTCAACAAATTCAGCAAGATCACTCATAGTGAAATTGTATTTTTCTCTGTGTGTGCGTGAATTCTCATCCTGTAGTCAACTTTTGTAAAATGAAGAATGTAAGCAGAAAAGTACAGTTGTTTTTATGATTTTAAAAAATGCCAGTTGCTGCGCACTGGATTGTTAGACATCTATTCCATGTACTGGATACATTACCAGATAATTAAGTCTAACAACTAAAATGTTATTCCAAATCTTGCCTCATTTATCTCCTCTTTATGTCTGTAAATGAAAATGTAACTATTGCATTTTTGTAATTCCCATAATTCCCTCAAGGATGCAGGCTTTCCTAGGTGCTGTATAGAAATGTATGAGCTGAAAGGGGAAAAAAAAAAAGGGACATCTGTGGTGCACAGATGGAGCAAAACCTTATCCACAGAATAAGCAATATGACCAAATAATAATAACAATAAAAAAAAACAGGCAGTGGCAAAACTAGACAATATTGCCTTTTAAGGAGCTCGTTCCTTCCTCCTGTAATAGTGCAATTAAGTGAAGTTTGACATCGTGAGCCATACTGGAAAGTAACATCATTGAACAAAACCATACTGACCAACCTGTGCTTTTTTTTTTTATTTTATTTTTTTCACAAAAAGGTGAGGATGGGGCTTTTTAAACCTGGTTAAATAACAGCACTACAGGATGTGAAAACACTGGCTCATAAATTATAACGGCTTCAAGCACTGGTTGAGAGAGATCATATGTCATAAGATTGCCCAACATCTGGTTGAGAATTTTTACTAGGAGAGCATTTAATCACATGCTTGACTTAAAATGAATACATTACTACTGTTGATGAATAGGTACGTAATTCTTTTTAAGACAAATGGCAGCATATAGTTTGAGCTTGAGTCTACAGAAGTAAAAAATAAATGAAAAATCTATGTGACGTCTCAGTATAGTTGGATACTGCTGAGCCCCTCCTGGGATATGGCTGTAGCACAAGTGAAGGCTGGGCTCTAACAGCTCATTCCCCTTGGTGGTTTTAATTTGTTACCTTGAAGTTGTGGCTGTTTCCCCTTTTATTGAGAGAGGGTACCTTGGAGAACTTTAAATGGAGTATCCTGTGAGGGTATCTTGCAGCCTAAGAGGCTCAGTATTTCTCCTTATCTGCAGTTCCTCACTACTGCTAAATTTGGGGATGAGCAGCAGTTAAATCTAGACTTCTTAAAATGGTGAAATGCAGCTGTAACTCTAGAGAAGCATTTAAAAGAGCAGCATTCATTTAAAAGACATTAGGGATACAGTTAAAGATAATTTTCTGAGTAATAATGTAAGACACATTTGATAGTGGTTTTGGTGTTTCAGAAGGTGCTTGCTACTGAAATCGTGGTTCGAAACATTAGAAGTCAATCACAAGTCAATCTGATGGGTGAGGAGGAGTTTGCTTCGGCTCCTGTCGTGATACAGCTCTTCATTCTGAACCTTGCTAGCTAAGCAAGGGCATTTATACAAGAAATAATGTTCCTGTAGAAAAAATAGGAATGTACTGCTTTCTGTTTAGCAGCTAATTAAACATTTTTATGTGCAGCAGATGCTGTGTGGCGTCAAACCCTCCCAACCTTTAAACTGTTTGTCATGCTGCCAGTGGATTGGTCTTTCCCTTTACAGGTGTTACTTTACAGCAGTTTGCCTGTAATCTGAACTGGCCCTGTTTCTCTTACGTGGCTGAAATACCCATTGCCTATCTTGATTTGGCTTTATGAACTTCCTTTGTGTTTAGCAATATAATGGGTCATTTCTTGCTCTTTGGAGACAATTTTGCAAATCCCAGTTTAATAGTTCCTAGTTTACTCCATCTGTTGATACGTTGCCAGTATTCGAGTCTGTGCAGTAAATCTTTGTGAGACGTAAGAAAGTCCTTCCTCATCATCCACATAGGCTGAAATCTTAAACTGAATTCTGTTCTGTAAATCATTTATCTCTGTGCTTTTTAAAAAGTGGCCTACCTTTCCCCTTGAGGCCATTGGTCTTGAATGTATTTATTTTTTTGGCAGAGTGCCATGAATGAATCATAGCCTAGAGCAGCTTACAGTCTGAACTCTTCTCTATTGTTAATATAAAATACTTTATGCAGTTGTTACAACGTTTTGGTATGTAAAACTTTTAAGAGAAGAGAGATTGATTTCAGACTTGTTAGTTGCTTTTGAAGTTCCTCGACAGTATGTGGAAATGATTTCTTACGGTCGTACAGCTGTAATCCACTAAAATAACTAGTGATTGTTGCACAGGAGGTTTGTACATGGGAATACGTTACTAACTCTTTGTTGTAATGAGGTGTGTTTTGTTCTTTCACAAAAAATTGTCACTTCAGCTTTTCATTGTGTTTGTAACTCTCCTGTTTATACCTTCCTGCTCCATTTCCTTACTGTTTTATTGTTTCTCTTCTTGACTTAATTCTCAAGTCTTTCATTCTGTTCTTCAGACATCCCTCTCTTCTGGTTTGGCTGTTCCACCATGGCTAGTGTTTCATGCTGCATGCCCTTTTTACCTGCGTAATAGTGCTTTCATTAAAGGCAACCTGGCAGATGATTTATTTCTTGATGTCTTAAAAGGCTGTTTTGTAACGAAGAGCCTGGACCCAATTGAATTACTAAGGATTTCCATAGGTGAGTCAGCAGCATGAGCCTGGCTGGCTCTGAGAGCAACAGTGCCAGTGAAGTGTGTAACTCTATCTCATGCTTCAGAGGGAACAAACTGGGTGACACAGGATGAATGGGAAATAAAAATTTGACTGGATACATAACCATAGATTCTAGTTTCCACTTTTCTTTACAGTCTTTCACCTCAGTATTGTGTCCCTTGTAAACTTGCCTACCATTGTGAGCAACCCGTTTGGCTAGCAGTATGACGTTTGGCTGCTTCTAAACTTGAGATTTGGGGAGTGCGTAAAACTGCACCACACAGGCCGCTGATTTCCTCCGTCAGCATGTGTAAGGTGTGTTTTTTATCGCTTGCTCGTTTCCCCTTTTTCCAAGCATTTGAGTAGCGAGTTCCTCCAGGTGGCTGGCTATATCACCCTTCAAATACCGGCTGTATTGAATGCACCTGACTTTGTTTCAACGGCAGAGGCTGTGTTTCTCACCTGGGCTTCCGTGGGGCTGCTCTTTAGCTTTGGTTGACCTTCAGTGTCAGTGAGTTTGGCTCACAGACGGGGAGCAGCAGCTGCAACCCTCTCGTAAACAAGGTGCCTGTAGGTAGCCTACAGCTGAACAAGTGGGATGCCGCTCTATCAGAGAGCCAGACTTCGTGGTATCCCATAGCTTCCCGAGGTTTGCAACAAACACCTTATCCATCTTGATCTTCCCCATTTGGCAATAGAGGCCGGTATTCCTGGATGGCTTAGGGAACTGAACTGGAAGGTCCGTGTTCTTTAAATTGATTGAGGAGGTAATGCTAGAGCCTGGTCTGACTTGGGAAACTTTCGAATAAACATAGCACTTGGTGAGTGTCCAGTAGAGGGGGATCCAAGCGGGGCTGTGACTCATGCCTTTTCCCAGCAATTAATTTAAAAATAGAATTGAAATTGAAATACACTCTGAAGGTCAGAATGTCAGGTCAGTGTGTGTCTGATAGTTTTTCATGGGCGAGGTGTTGCCAGAGGACAAAGTATTCTTCATTTTCAAATTCACTTCTGCTGGCCATATATTCTGAATGTGTAGAAAAGGAATTTTCTGTCACCTACTGCAGGAAGAAGAGACGTTACCCTTGTATATCTATTTTCTGGGATATTTTTTGTTTGAGTGAACAGCTGCTCTGTCGCTTTTGATAATGTGATTTCATAAAATTTTGCAGTGACGTTATTTACCTGTTTTTCTAGATAAAAATCTTCAGCACAGTTGCTAATTGATCCTGAATTTAATGACTGCTTTAGGGAGAGGCTGTAATCATTTTACTCTTGTGTGTTTTAACCTCTTACTCAGACTTGTTAAATTGGAAATGTGAGAAATGGATTATTTTAGTACATGAACAGGAAGCTTCAGACTATACATTCCAAAATTATACATGAAAACTCCATATATTTGTTACATCTTTAGTCTAAGAACTTGTAAGCCATTTTTGCCTTTGGAATCCAGTGTTCTGCCGAAACCTCGTCATTAATGATGGAAGGCTATTTTGGCAGTTCTCAAAAAAATGTCCATAAAATGAAGGTCATGCAGCTGCAAAGACCAATATTCTGATCTAACCAAAACTTCATGCAAGTGTAATGGCTGTACAGGGCTCTTC